TCAGCCAACATATTTACAGAGAGAACATTAAACACATCAATTATTTTAAGAAGAACAAAACCCTGAAAGAAGCAGGGATATGTTGTTTAGTGTAGGCCGTTCTTCCCCCAAAGCAATTTAACAGGACAACAATGAGTACATAGATTACGTCATGTAACACTAACATGTAAGAAATGGGCTTACTTATCATAGGCTGTATTTAGTATTTTGCAGTATTTCAGTGGCAGTCTAGACTTACAGAGGCAGGAGACATGTCCCAGTCCTTGTTTGACTCTGATGTCGTGTTGTCCTCTTTCATGCTCCTGTCCCACAGCTTCCTACTAGCTGGCTCCTCTGCATCCAAGATATCCAAGGCCTGCTGGAACTCTTTGGCAGCATACTTCAGAAAGTCAGAAAAAAAGAATACTATACTTTATGGCTTTGAATGATATACTGTATGGGAGGTTTGTCTTGATTATAATCTGCAGTGTCTAAAACACTAAAAACAGAGTTTAGAGCTGATTCAGTAAGTTGATTTCAACTACTTACATGGCACCTAGCAGCAAGATACTGACATGCTCCATACAACTGTGTGTGAGAAGATGTTTGAAACAAGCATTAAACAAAGACCTTTTCACCCACTTCCCATCACATACATAGCTTTGCACATATCAACAACGACTCGTATGACCTTATACGTTACCTTGTCAAGTTTCCGCGAACGGAGGGCATGGGAGGCTCTGTGGTACTGTGAGGTCAAGTAAAGGCACTGAGCAAGCCAGTAAATGTCTTGGGGATCCTCTGTATAATAAATAAAGAAGCAGGGTCGTCAATTAATGACGTTTGAGAGTGAGCAGAGACAGGGTGAGCAACATTACAACTGTTGGTAAGCTCCCCATCTTCCACCTAAACCTGTTTCAGTTATGTATTTTTGTTTTCCCAATCAGTCAACAACTTACTCCCCGTCTGTTTTCAAGATATATTTCAATTCAATTCTCAAATCCATCATTACAACACAAGGTCAGCCAGCTTACTTCATTCTGCATTTTTCAGGACATCGTTTTCTCAATTCTCTGTCAGATTCAGAGGACCTCATTGTTGGAACAATTTACCCAATCATATTAGAAACAGCACCAGCCTCAACTTATTTAATAGAATAGAAAAGAATAGAATAGAATTACTACCCAAACTGGGAAATTGTGGCATTACAGCAGCAGGTTATCCAACACACAATATGAGTAAAAAAACACAATGTTAGTAAATCTAAACATAATATAATATTAAATACAAAGTAAATAAGCACTAAAAATATCAAAACTAAGAATGTGAATATATACAACCAGGATTTAACTAAGCATTACTAGTCTTAAATAGGAAGATTAAATGTAAATGTGCAAAAAACAGAGCTGTAAATGGACAGTATTGACACAAGTTAAAGTAAAAAACAAAACAAACCATTTATTTCCTGCTTGGCCAATTAACTCATTTGCCATCATAATCTTTCATGTGTTCTTGTTAGCTGTATTGTTTTTGCTTGGACTACATCAGGGGTGGACCACATGCGGCCCTCGTCAACCCTCAACGTGGCCCTCAGGTCAATTTTTATACATCAAAACATGAAGAAAATATGACAAAATCTGCCATGAAATCATGAAAACCAGAAATATGTCCATAATAATATTTGATCACTGGTATATGTTGAGTTAAATTTGAGACATAATCGACTGTTATCATTTTTGTATCCTACAATTTGGCCCCCTGGCAGTGAGAATTAAATGAATGTGGCCCTTGCTGTGACCAAAGTTGCCCATCCCTGGACTACACTGTCTCTGTGTTACATGTTTCTCTTTAGGAGGGCTGCACTCGACAAGCCCCTTTGGGTTTATTTGACTCCTCCAGCACATTTCTTTCAAAATGTTATTTATTTATTAGCACACATAAGAATACATCAAAATAGGATTAACAAAAACATAAAAGGTGTGTCAGGAGAGGTCAAGAAGCCAACAGACTTATACGAGGGACCTCACCTCTTAAGAGACAAATAAATCAACTAAACAAATCGAATTACACAATTTCTAAACAAAATTAAATATAAACACATATACAGTAACCTATACACATATTCACACACACACTTAGACACATACAATACAGTTAATTGTCTCTTTTTTATTTAAATTGTACTGTGTTCACTTTTTGTCTGCAATGTGTGGGATAAATAAAGGATTATCTTATCTTAATAGAAAGACTGAGAATGTTAACCCTCTATCAGCTAAATGAAACAGGCACTGATCTATTAAAAAGGGAGTGAATAGTATAGTTTGTTAATTAACTAATCATTATGTACTGTCTGTTTTTCCATTGATCTATTATGTTTATGTTTTTTTTGTGCAATAAATTAAAAATTATTATTATTATTATTAACAGTTTATTTATCAATCAATCAAACTTTATTTATATAGCACCTTTCAGACAAATTAAATTGCAGTTCAAAGTGCTTAACAAGAGTGCAGAAAAGTTATTGACGAAAAAAGTAGTTTATAAAATCATCGAGAGACCAATAACAATTAAAAAATAAAATATATGTATAAAAATAAAATACGACACATAAAAGCAACAAAATATTAAAATAAATACATAAGAGGAAAAATATTTTAAATTGTAGTAGGATTTAAAAAAGACAATACAGTAATGTTAAGTTTACTGATATAAAAGCCAGACTGAATAAATGAGTTTGAAGACTGCGTTTAAAAATCTCGTGTTTTTAGTTTTTGATGCTACTTAACAGAAGAACATTCTCCATACAAACAAACATTAGTTGTTTATTGTAATGAGCTGCTGTGTTCAATAAACAGCTCATTAAAAAGAACTAACGGAAGTCACTCACCGTGAGAGAGGGATGCTATCTTGTCGGCCCAAAAGAGAGCACTTTGATATTGTTGCTGTAAATAAACAGAGAAGCAGAAACAAAGAGTCACTCGAAGGAGAATTGTCGTCGTGGTTAGTTGCTCTGCTGTCCTCACACATTTAGACTCGGCGGTCAGAGAAAACTGCGAAGGGTTGTGTTACAGTTCACGCCAGCTATGCTCTTAAGTTAGCATCAGCTAGCATTACACACAAATACGAGCGAAGCAGTAATTCTCACCTGGTCGATGTACTGCCTTACTCGCTTTCGAAGTCTGTCGAGATTCATTTTTATAGTCCTGGAGTTTTTGGCCCTGGCTATCAAAACAGTTTCATTATCAGAGACGGTAGAAAAATGTTTGCATAACAACAGTGCACAGACACAAGTGAGTGCTAACTTGCTAGCAGCAGTAAAAATCAAATCCGCGGCTTCTTTCTGTACAGTGTGTTCTGCAATATTAGGCCGTAAGGAAACATGTTCTGGATAGATGGTTCCGCACTAAGTCTGGTGTTCTTGAAAACATATAAATATAAAAACAATATACATAAACTTTAATTTAATTCATTTATGTATCTACAAATTCGATAATTATTTTCGAATGAAATATGCACGCTTTAAAAATATTGTGTTATCTAGACTTAGACTTTCTTTATTGTCATTCAAACTTGTACTTTACAGTGCAGATAAGAACGAAATTTCGTTGCATTTGGCTCGTTGTAGTGCAGGATAAGAACAGCAGCATGTATTTACATATAAAAATAAAAATAAGGTGCAGATATAAATAGATATAAAAAAAAAAACTATGAGTAAGAATACTATACAGATAAATATATTGCACGTTATATGTATTTTACAGTCCATTGAGGTAGTCCTGTGTGGGGGTTTGAGGGGGGATAGAGGGATTTTTTTTTTGTGTTTTTTTGTGTTTTGTGTTCAATCTAGTGATTGATTGATTGATTACACTTATTTCAGACAAAATAAAAAAATATCAAAAATACAAAACAAAATGAAAAGCACGAAAATACAATAAACAAAAAACAATGTTCAAATTATTTCACTGTTATTTCAATTGATATGCCTGAAAATGAGTAGGAAGAAGTATAAAATTTATTTAATCCTACCCCTTTTCCACAGCTCAATGATTAATATGTATTAAATTAACTTCCTGTGTTCCTTATAATCTCTCTCTATATACAATCTATCTATATACAATTTGCTATACTATATTTGAGTGTGTTCTAAGCACACATGCAGGCAACTATTGCTCTTTTTTTTATGATTTTTAATCTGGTACTATAATCCAGCCGGTCTACTAGATCATATCAGTTACGTAACTTTTAGGTCCAATACTAAGGCACAAAAATAACTTTTAAACAGCTTATATTGTCACTGAAAGAATCTTTATTGTGCAGAAAACATGGATATTTTATCCTTCTGAAAGATTTTCAGGCTCCTTCTTGGGTGTTTCAGGTGTATGAGGGTTGTTGGAAGTTTTGGCACCATCAAGTGGAGGAGATGTTTCAGCAGTATGAATGGCGGAATCAGCTGTAACTTGAATGTTCCCCTTAGACTTTACTTTGCTCATGGCTTTGTTGCTTGCAAGACTCTTAGTGGTTATGTCTGGACTGATCTTTTGGCCTTTACCACAACCGCTTGACTTCTTTTTTGGTTTTTCTTGACCCTGATATTAACACAAAGGAGAAAGATCATTTTAAGTAGTTAAGATGTCATATAGATTATACAAGCAGCAAGGTAAAGTTATCTAAAAAGATGAGGAAGATGTGACCTCTTTCTGAGTTTTCCATCCTCCGGGGTAGCGTGTGATAATGTCCATCAGCTTGACATTTTTGTGCCAGTCCTTATGCAAGTTCTTCACATTATAGTTAGACTTACAATGGTCCAGACGGACCAGGATCTTTTGATTTTCATTGGTAATACGGAGCAACTCCTGATGTTTTCTCTCCTTACCCAGGCTTAAAAGATGACAACAAACACGTTTAAGAAACTGTGTTTTTAGTTTCAATGTGCCCCTTTTTTGTCAGTACAACTTTGTTGCCTGACTTATTCATATGAATCTTTACACATTGTTTCTACTTGAACACCAGCTAACCTTTTTCTTTTATAATAATTCCTGTCGTCAACTCCTCCAGATGTCTTCATGATGTGAAATATCTTTTCAAGAAGAATATCGTTTTCCCTCTGCACCTTCATGTTCCATTCCTCTGCAAGCTTAATGCAATAACATGCGAAAAACAAGTATTAACATGAAAAAAAATGTTCTGCTCTTTCCAAAATTAGAAGTGCTGCAATTTATACAACAGTTAGTACAACATGGAGTATGGAGTACAATAGCACCGGGTCTTTTATCACTTTCCAAAGCTGTTTGCAAACAGTAGATTCAGCAACATTGTGGCAAACTTTGCAGAGCAAATTTGGAGAATATTTCTTCTTAAATAACATTTATAAAGCTGTGAATTGTAAGGTGTAGACAATCATAAAGTAGCATTTGTACAGGTACAAGCACAGGTACAGTTAAGTTGCAGAAGTTTTGGTGGAGGCACATGGACACAAATTCTGTTGATGCAGTTTTTACTGATTATATAAATGCCACTTGCGAGAACTGTTGTATAAAAGCTCACAAGAGGTTTTGCTGGTGTACTTAATATTAGCACGGATTTGATTACCTTGCCTATACTCAGGACAACAGCACTCCCTTCTGGTTTGTGTTGCTTAATTAACACAGTACATTCAGTTTTACTCAGGCACTTAAAAAAAAAAACAAGATTCAAATCATTACGGAATTTTAAATATTGTAATTTATCCCCATAGCAAAGTAAAATAAAAATTATATTAAATTAGCTATTTATTTCTTAGAGTTTGAGACGCCCTTGTTTGTTTAAAGCACAGAAAACATCTGCTGCCAGCCTGAACATGATGTGAGTTGAGTTGAAAACATTAATGAAAAAACAGAAACCTTTCGTTTCTTCAGGCCCTGAGTCAGGTGAGGGTAGGTCTTCGGTGCAGTGGTGTTTAACACTGATTTTGCTGACTTCACCTTATATGAGGAAAAAACAAATACATTTGTTTCAAACACAGTAACTGTTCCTTTGAGAAATTCTACTGTGTTGGTTTGTGATTGGATGACAAGTGAGATACAAATGCATTTTACAAACCGACCTTTTCCCTGTGTAAGTCATATGAAGCCTTGTCCCATTTGAACTGCAGAAATTTGTTTGCAGAGGGAAGGAAAGGTTGATGAGCCAGATGTGCCTTCATGGTCCTGTCAAGACAAAAAAACAAAACACAAGATAACAATTCTACAATGTCTAACACTTAACAAAAAGGAAAGGAACATTCAAATAAAGCAAACTTTTTGGATTAATTGCGTGGTTCTGATTCAATCGTAACATACAGTACATGTGAAGGGTAATTAACCTAGTACAGAGTCTGTCTCACCTCTCAAACTGTTTGATATCCCGTCTCCTCACCCGTCAAAGTGCTCCTGAGCGTCCAGGTCGACAGGAGCTCAAACACCGCAGTCTGTTTTATGCCAGTCATACGCGGTCGCCATGGCAGCAGCTGGAGAGCGCGCGAGATGAATGAACGGTTTCACACATGTTAATTAGCGAAGAGGGACTTTAAAATTAGATTCACACAGTTAAAAGCGGAAAATTTACTGGAAAATGGAACTGAGTTTTCATTATTTCTTCACGGTTTCTAAACAATTAGGGCATGCAAGGAAAAGCAAATGAAGTGGTCGGCCTACATTTTCACGTGCGTCATGCTTTCCACTTAAGTCAACGTTTTTGATCGTAAAATATTTAAATCCAATGCCGAAATTTAACATTGAATACAAAACAAACATGATTGAATAAATGAGGTCAAGGGCATGTAGGCTACTGTATTTTGTTGTTGTTGCATACAGAAAACTACAGCCATGGTAACAGTTACCTGGAAACTTTCATCTGAGCAACTGAAAGAGTAACTAAACCCTAAAACCACACAAGAGAACCACACAAAAAACCTGCTGTCATAACCCAACATATTTCTAAATGGGCATTATAAAAAAAACAGCTAAAATGGAAAAATATTTTTCTCTAATTTGGAATAAATTGAACAAAAAGCAAACACTTTTATACAATGAGCTACTTTGATGTCATAGGATAATACTAGGATAATACTTTATTGATCCCCAGAGGGGAAATTCGGGCGTTACAGCAGCACAGACAAGAAAGCTCAAAAATACACATTAAACAGAATAGATAAGATAAATAAAAATACAAATACAAATAAAAACAGTGGTTATATACAGTACAAAATGAATGATGAAGTTAACTGGGGGGAACTGAGAATTGAGACAGTATTTGCAGAGATGTCAAGTGATGTAATCTTGTAAATGAACCAAATACAGTTAGGACTTTAGGTTATAATAGAGCAAAACAGCAAAGATTTATTGAATGAATCTCTCATTGAGGTGATATGACTTCATGAATGAACATCCAGCACAACACTCCCTCCTAGCGGGTAAAGCAGGCTATGACAGTTTAAATTGCAAAATAACTCAAATCCCATGCCAGGGTGAAGAACCAAAGCACCAATGAAAGAGGAATAGATTTAACTGTAATAGATCACTATGTCACTCTTATTCACGCACCATGATAACCTCTGAATTTGTAGTGCCACAAAGACTTAGTTTTCTTTAAAATATAAAGTTACATAAAAACTATGCAAGCAAGAAGTTCCACATAGGCAGTTTTATGAATTTACTGCATGTGTGTATAACAACAGCAGTAATGATTCTTTATATTTGACATGTGCCAACACAAATAAATAAATTGTTTCCGTCCAGTGGAGTCGCATCTCAGTGCATAGATGAGCCCTCATGAAATAATTATTGGAAATAAAAGTTTCCAGTCCACCTTTCAGAGGACAGATGGCAGGTTACAGGGGGATTAAATGGGGACAGATAGTACCTCAAATTCTTGCAGTTTTCTTGCAGCTCATTTTATTTAATATAATTTACAAAAATAGGACTTAATTGATCATGTATGATGTTTACATTTTTTATAACCAAATAAAACTTACTGGCTTTTTGTTTATACAGCTGATCTTTCATTCAGGGTTCTTTATATGTCTGTTGATTAATTATGTTATATTTGTCAACGATTTAGGGCCAGTAGGGATTCAATTAAACACTTTTTGTTATCTGTAAATATCATCCTCATGAATAAAGAAGGGAGGTAATGATGTATTTAAGATAATCAGGGATGTTTTTATGCTCAAAATGGCAGGGGATGCTACCTGTTCCAGGTAAGTCCCAAAGGTGGATTTTCCATTACACTGTTGTGGGGCTAAGAGCAGAGAAAGATGCAATACAGCAATGTATGTGCTCATAACAGAAAAAAGGGTGTATTTGTTTGCATCAGTTTGTGCATGAACACATGCATGTGAGGTTTTTCAAATGCACCAATTCATAATCTTGAACCCAAAATGCGATATATGTTTGCTCTTACAGAGATTAAAACATGTTAAAGGTTGTAAAATATGACAAATAGTAATTAAAAAAAATGCTTTTCTAACATCTGAGGTGTATTTTTGTCTGATTTGCTTTGTCAGTGTTAATCCTGACTCAAAGAGATTAAAGAACTCAATGTTTTTGCCATTCCTGTTAAATGATGTAATGTATCTTAGTGCAGGTGTAACAGGAGCAGCCATAACATCACCACTTTTGCAATCAAATACAATCCAACACAACAGTTCTACCATAAACTCCACGTTTACAAAGCTTTTACATTTTCAGTTTTCAAAGGAGTTCCTAATATTTTGTTAATGGAGTGGGCAAAATATCAGGACCACCTAGATCTTCAATATCAAGCACTCTAATATACCACGCCACCAACGACAACCTCCATTATCAATATAAAGTAGAATTATTATTATTATTATCACCTTTCTGATCATGTCAACAAAAAAACTGAAAATGTAGAAGCCTCATCTGATTGATGTATAGCTAATTTTAAGTAAGGATATAATCTCTACATTATGTAGCAATCTAATTCAAAAATGGAATTAATTTACACTTGTGTTGTTGTGTTTATGGACCACAGGACAGACACACCACTGTCTCCCCTGCTATAGGAGACCTGTCACTGCTGATTGAGACAAATACCAGGACTCCCCTCAGAGCTCATATTTTACTTTCCTTGTTTGTACCTGAGGCCAGCACCATAGTCACATCAATTTTCAGGCATCATAAGGAGTTTGAGCCTTTCCCAAAGGTAAGGATCAAGTTTTTTTTTAAAGTTTCTTTTAACCTGTGTGATGGAAAGTGACTACGGTAACAGGTCCCATGAGAGGAACCTGTTTAGAGGCGGCTACATCACACTCCTATTAGTGTTAGCATTACTAAACAGGCACCTGCAATCAAAGAGCAATGTCTGAAAAAAAAAAAAAAAGAAGTAGGTTCTCCCATTTTTCAGTTCCTCCGAGGTCACACCAGAAATACGGCAGACCATGCTTTTGTCGGAATAATTCAATTATGCAGTCAGGTTTCTGAAAAGGGACACTTTATTCCTGCACTTCAGATCGTCAGGTTGTCACAGTGATGCATTGTGAAAGGAGACGTTCAACATCCCAAAGGAAAAAAAAAGGTCTCTTTTCTATCCTTAAGAGCTCCCCCAACCTTTCTCTGTGATCACATATCAGATTCTTGAAGCAGGAAAATGACACATCTCCAGACACGGCTCTCTTACTCCGAAGTTGACCCTGTTCTGCATATATCTAATATTACTGCATACGCTGTACATTGTAATCATGTCAGAAAGTTCAGCCAACACACATTGCATGTTTGACTCTTCGTATCGGAGTGCTCTTCTTACTTCTCCTGCTCCCGACTTTGTGCTAAAAACCTAAACGGAACTGGTTAGCTGTGACGGAACTTTAACTCTAACAAAATCTGAAAACCCTTCTCACTTGATTTATAGAAAGTACTTTCAAAGTCAACACAATTTTCAGCTAATGGATGGTAGAATAGGTAACGACTCTGAGGCACTATACTCTCAGCCCTGCAGCTCCATTAATGACGCAGGGCTGCGGAGGGATGGATGCTTTGACTCGATATGGGCTTTATCCCTCTAAAAGAGGCTTTTTTTAACAACCGTTTGGTGCACACGTATGCCGCACTTCCTCCTGAACGCTGGAAGTTTGTCCCATTTTAATGCTCAAACCCACACAGGCCTATATCCCAGATAGATCTGTGCTATGAAAGCGTATGAATAATGGAAGATGCAGTCTTTACAAGTTAAAAAAGACCCACAGTGCTGTTACGTAACAGTGGAATGAGTTATGAGGATAACAAATTAAGCAACGTGAGGCCGAGCACAGTCGCATGCAGGACTAATCGGCTGCTGGGACACAGTCGCAGATATAAGCTCAGACTTCACCTCTTAAATGTGACTTATATGTTTTACTGTTTCCCTTGGCAACTTCACCTCTTCTGAACATCTCATCATCTCAGTCACTGGCAAGGTCCCTCATCTCTGAAACCTGCAGAAAAACAAACAATTTCTCTCAATTACTAAATCTCTCAGAGGATAATACTGACCATTCAGTTTTTCATTAGATAGTGCATGATGTCAGAGATGCTTTAACCTCTTGCTCCTTCTCCAGATTTTCTAAATGGTTCAAAACCTTTTCACTTTGTTCATAACGGGAGTTTTGAACCTGTGGAACAAATCAATTGAAAATGGAAGAAATCTACAGTATGTAACGAAGAATACTATGTAGCCATGTGTAAAGATTAAGAAGAAGAGCCCAGGACATTCAGTTTGTTTGTTTTTATGTTGATTTAGATCCCCATTAGCTCTAGCATAAGATAGAAGCCATATCAAGTTTGCAAGGAAGCATATCCCCCATCTTGATAGACACAAAGTGCAATAACAACAATTGACGAAAAATTGCAAAAACACAATGTGCAATATTACTGTATTTATTTGTGAGTGAATAATAGCTATGCAAATATTTCATGTGCAGAATCGACTGGATAAGACTCCTTTAAAAAAAAAAAAAAGTTTCCATTTTATCTCTGAAATGTGTAAAGCTGAGTTCAGGTGCATTGCACACATATTCCAATGTACCTGTACTGTCCTCTACGTGTGCAATTACATAACTAATGCATTTCTATTCTGTTCTGTTCTGTTCTATGCAGCTGACAGTGTGAACACATTTTAAAACTTTACTGTTGTGTTGTGTTTTATTCAGGTGCATTGCACACATAATCCAATGTACCTGTACTGTCCTCTACGTGTGCAATTACATAACTAATGCATTTCTATTCTGTTCTGTTCTGTTCTATGCAGCTGACAGTGTGAACACATTTTAAAACTTTAATGCTGTCATGTGTTGTGTTCAGGTGCTTTCAAGAGGCTCAGAAATCTCAAACTTCATGCTTTGGCTGCATCCAACAGGTACTATATTCTGTCGTGGAAGAATACTGATCATCGTAAAGATACATCATGTCATTGTATTTAAAAAAAAAAAATCAA